GCATCTGCTCGCCGCTAGATGGCATTAGCCACATCGATTAAATTTCAGACAAAATAAAAAACTGCTTTGATCTTTATTATCTAGCTTAATATTGCACTTAGAACACTTTATAAACAACCAAATTGTTCATTTTTTTACCTGCTACACTTTTGTTTTTTGTAAAATTTTCGATAAAACGTATATTTTTGGAGATATTTGCAAAAATCCGATGAAAATCATGAAAAAATGTCGAATTTTCAATTGCCAATAACTTGGAAAGTATTGGATTTTTCGAAAAACTTTATAGATAAATTTTTGCTTAAAATTAGGCCTTCTATCGATATCCGAGGTTATTTTAAAAAAAAATTCACCCCCGAGAAGGGGTGGCAACCACCCTCATGGTGGTTGCGGAGTTCAGATCATTTTTACTTTTGAAGTAAAGGGTAAGATGAGCCTAATTCCAAAATTTCATGCAAATCGGTTTACAGTAAAAAAATTCGGAGGTAAGACCGTATTTTTCGCTTCTATGACTGCATTAATATTAAAGTAACGATATTGGCAATGGAACATGGAATTCGCTTTTGGGACTTGGAACATTAGAACTGTGAATAAACCCGTAGAATTGAAAAGATACAAGGTTGGTTTGGCATCAATTTAGGAAATAAAATGTCTAGGAAAGGGTATTCGTGACACAAAAATACACACCTTCTTGCCAAGTGGTTTAGATCCAGTAATTAAGGAACTTGGCTTGGCATTGATAGTCGACAATATACTGAAACACCTAACGGATGTTTAAGCAGTTGAACGAATTTGTATGATACTAATAAAGACCCACTTCTTTAACATATTCATAATAAACGTTCACGGACGAATGAATAAGATGAGGAGACTAAAGTAGCTTTTTACCAATTACTAAAGCAAACATATGACCAAACACCTACAAACGACATCATAATCCTTATAGTTGATACAAACGCAAAGTAAGTAACTGAAAAAGAATACGTAGAAATAATTGGGAGGCATAGACTACATAACATAGAGACACGAATGAAAATCCAGTTTAAAACATAGGAAACGATTCCACCAAGATATCAAAATGATGGAACAGAGGTATCAGGGGGACATAGAGCACTCACACGATATCCGATTACTGCTAGAGTATTTAAAGGGATTGTTCTTTTAAATCCTTTGCAAGAAAACTTCATAAAAAGAAGTTTTGTTTTGGCGTCCATTGAAATGCACCATTAAACTTAGTTTTTTGTGCGCTTTTCAAATCTGCAAACGGATTATAAAAAAACTTATTATACAGGGTGTTGTTTCAAAATCACAATTATTTTATATTTTTTGTTAATCCAGACCTGAATTTTTCTTGTGATTGTTAAGTGGATCGTTTTGGTTCTAAATGAGATATATGTGTACCAAATACTAAAAAAGTATACAGGATAGTTGTAAAGTTATGAATTCACAAAGAATCGAACAAAATTGATAAAACACTGTAACTCGGTTATAAAAACCGTTAGAGCCAATAAATGTTCTAGAACCACCTCGGTGACATCTATTCACCATTTCCGTTTCCCAATGAAACACTCTGTGTAGTTTTGATTTCCATTAATGTTGAATTTTATTTTTCATTGTGAATTGTAATCAAAGAAAATATAAATTATAGGAAATTAGTTGTCGCACTCAAATATCATTTTTGAAAAGTTTTTTAGTATTGCATTTCATAATAATCATTTTCAATTTCAGAGAACCAGTATTTGTGCTGTATAGAATATCTTACATTTGGTACTCCGGCATAGGACTTATAACAACAATACTAATAGGTTTAATTATATCCCTACTCACGAAACCAACTCGTTTAGAAGACCTAGATGATGTGTACATATCGCCACCCATAAGAAAATTATTGTACTCTTTATCAGATGGCACCAAAAAATTCCTTCATGTTCCAATTAAGAAAAACTTTCCAAAAAACAATATTGTTAAGGAAATGACAATCAAAATGGATCAGGAAGAATATCACGAAATCAAGCAAAATAACTTCAATGAGCAAATTAAGAATAAAATACGGAAAATATCGGCACCATCATAAAAGATGAAAATTAGTGTATTCAAAACGTCAGTATTTTCTCTGAAAGTATTAGATCTTTTCTATATAGTAGGTACAACTTACGTCACTTTCATTGTTCGGCTGCTATTCCTGTTGTGATTTTCATATCATATAACTTAAATAATAATCATCTCACGCGACTACTATTTGGTCATATGCGAAGAACGATATAAAAAGTTTATTTTCTCCCATCATTATTTTATATTACGGCGTTTTTTACCCATTTCTCTAGAGATCTGTTCAGGCAAATCTTAAATAAGGTTGATAATAAGCAATAACCTTGTCTTAAACCATTTAAGACGTTATGAAAACGGTTTCCCGTAAATAATTTTGTATTTTGTCTATATTACATGTAAATGTATTATGTATTACATGATTATGATAGTTTTAGCATTTCTAATTAAGGATTTTTTTGTAATTGTAAATACATATTTATTGTTTATAGTTTTGCTTATTAAATATTTTGTTGATTGAGAAACTATAGTTTTTTTATTATGTTATCCTGTCAGTGGACAACTTAAAAATTTTAAAAAAATTTTATGGTCGAAAAATATTAAACTGAGTGTTTTGAATGAAAACTTGGGTGTAAAACCCGAGAGCTATCGCAGACACTCGTAACAGGACTCTTAAGCTAGGGGTGACACATAAGCGGAATTCAATTTAACTTCAATACAACTTAACATAAATTAAATAAAAATACAATGAATATTTTAATCGCCGAAAATTCCTCTAAAATAATTTCTACAATAATTTCATTGTATTTATGCTTTAAGGATCCAAGAGTGGCGACTATCATGACGATATGAACCATCTTAATTTTATGAAGTGGGTCAGAAGTCAGCTTATACATAACTTACCTAAAAATTCGGTCTTGGTGGTTGATAACGCATTCTACCATAATGTACTAATCGAAAAAAATGTGACGTCTGCTAGCCGTAGTGATATTATGGTAAAATGGTTACAAGAAAAAAGTATTCCCTTTCAAGAAAATCTGACCAAACCGGAATTATATAAAATTATTCAAGCTAATAAACCACGTTCTCCACCAAATTATGTGTTAGACTATGAGCTTGAACAACATGGCCATCAAGTACTTCGCTTGCCTCCGTATCATCCAGAGTTAAACCCTATTGAAAAATATGGGCTTTGGTAAAAGGTAGAGTGGCCACTCATAATACAACATTTAATATAAATGATGTTGAAAATATAACAAGAGCAAAATTTTCAGAAGTGTTGATAGAAGAGTGGGCTAACATATGTAAACACGTGAAAAAATATGAAAACACTCAAATCACAAGAGAACATTTATTAGACTCTACGCTGGAGCAGTTAAATTTTTTTGTTAATACTGGTTCATCCGAAGAAAGCTTTTCTGATGATGAAGATAGTAATTAAAATTTCGGAATAGACGTGTTTTTGTGTGATATTCCTTTGTCATGTAATAAAATATATATATATATATATATATATATAGTCCCAAGATTCCTAAGAGGAACATAGGGTCCAGCGAACCCTATTTCTCGCTAGTGCTTTGATTTCAAGCCAGGATTTTCCCATTTTTCTCCCTTCGTCCAGTACTGTCCTTCTACAAGTTCCCTTAGGTCTGACTACTTTCCATCGGCCTTGGGGATTCCAATCCAGCGCTGTCCTGGCAATGTCATTTGGCGGTCTACGGAGTGTGTGGCCCAGCCATCTCCATTTTCTTCGTCTTATTTGCTTTATGACATTTTCTTAGTTGCATAAATTTTCATTGGAGATTCGGTTACGTCAAAATATACGAAGGATTTTTCGTAACGCTATGGGTGCTGATATCTTCCACGTTTCGCAGCCATACAGTAATACAGCTTTTACATTTGTGTTGAAGATTTTTAATTTCGTTCTAGTTGGGTAAATCCTGGATTTCCATATGTTGTTAAGCATGTACCCCCATTACAGTCAATTATGCTGCCCAGATATACAAATTCCGCTACTCTCTCAATTTTCTGGTCGTTGATCATAATAGGTTGGTTGTTTCTGGTACCAAATCGCATTTCTTTGGTTTTGTTGATATTATAACAAAATATAGAAGTCTTTAAAATCCATATTTTTTTTATAAAATAAATACATTATTTAATGTGTTAAAATAAATTACTTATTTTTTTTGAGTTGTTGAAACCCTTCCTTCCTTCCTGGCAATGTTAATAAATTGTAAGTATTGAGGAATTTGTTATTTATTAAAGTACTCCTAATAGTTTATTCATTATTTTATCGAATGTCTGTCTATAAACTTTATAAATATTAAAAACTATAAAAGTACAAATTGACAAATTCATTCTCACTTTAATTGAATATACTTATAAAAATTTATTTGAAAGCTACCGGTTTCCGTCCGCCACTGGTAGAAACGGTCCGCCTTTCTGCGCGAAACACGACGTCACATTCCCAAATTTAAGTTTGTCGGAGGTTTATATGGTATATTATTGTTTATATGGTATATTATTGTTTACATGCTCTTCAATTTCTTCTCATACTGATTGAATATGGCAATTGTTATCTGTACACGTCTTTTATATTTCTTTGAATTTTTCTATCTTCTCTCGCCTCTTTTATTGGTACTTTACCTGACACCTTATCCTGTCGTTTGACTATTATATAAAATCCTATATATAAAAGCTCTCTGGTATGATTTTACGGAATATTTTAAAGACGGCGGTTTTTAAAGTTTTGTTTATCCCCTTTTTTTATCATAATTACTGATATTACCTAGTGACCGATATCTCTAACGGCTGAAAAAGATTTTAAAAATCCACGAGATACTGTTTAAATATATTATTAAAAAACAGAAAAAAAAATAAACAATTTATTAAATAATTGACTTAACATGTATCCAGTAGACTATTTTAAAAAAATAAAAACTTGAAAGATGCAATTCCTGTATTTAAAATTCATCATGAAAACTTCTGGCAGTGTCGACCATCTTCGATTTTAAAAACAAATCCGGATGTGCAAGCATTTCGTCTAAAGATAACATTTGATCATGGTCGTTATCAGCAAGAGCCAGAAGAGCCTCCGCTTCATGTTCACTGTGTCTGGGACTTTGAGGAGCAACATAGTGTAATAATTCCCTCCTATCCGCTCTACCATCTCCATTAAGATCGATTCGTTTTCGAAATTCTTCTCTTCGTTCGTTTTCGTCTTGCCTTACTATCAATGGCTCATCACCATTACCTACAAATATTTAAACTTTATATTTTGTTGTCAATGTACTTAAAAGATATAGATAAGAATAAGAATGTAAAAAAGTATTATTATTTCGAATCCTAAGTACAACAGAATTGATAAACGCAGAGATTAAGCGGAGAATGGGAGTGCAATCAGACATAATCGACTATATAGAGGAGAAGAGACTATCCTGGTACGGCCACGTCAGAAGAGCGGACAGAGGACGCTGGATAAACAAAATTACAGAATGGAGTCCGATCGGAAAAAGAAAGAGAGGAAGACCCCGAAGGTCATTCAGAGACGAAATCGACGAGGCTATGGAGAAAAGAACCCTGCGAGATGGAGACTGGAATGACAGGGAAAATTGGAGAAAACGGTTGAGTGAAGGAAGACAGTGAAAACTGTGGAAATCCTTAGTAGTAGTAGTAGTAAGTAGAACAAATCCTAGATATCTCTAGACATCAAATAAAAACTTTTAAAAATTCTAAGAAATTAGTTTTTAAGACAAACTGATTAAATTGGGAATTAAAACTGGGAAGAGACAATCAAACAATAGAGTTAAAAAGGAGAATAGGACTGGCATGGGCAGCTTACAGAAAACTGAGGGAAGTCTTTAAATCAGCTATTCCCATGTGCTTGAAGAGAAAAGTTTTTGATCAGTGTGTACTTCCAGTTCTGACATATGGAGCAGAAACATTGACACTTACCAGAAAAGTAATTAATAAGATACAAGTGGCACAGAGAGCGATGGAGAGGTCAATGTTATGCGTATCACTCAGGGACAGAGTTTCGAGTCAGATAGTAAGGAGAAAAACTGGTGTGACGGACGCAGTTGAAGGAATTACAACCCTGAAATGGAACTGGACAGGACATGTTGCTAGGGTCAGAGATGGAAGATGGACAAAGAAAATTTTAGAGTGGAGGCCTAGACACGATGTTTATCGTAGTCGAGGACGTCCTCCAACAAGGTGGTCGGACGATTTAAAGCGCATCCAGTCTAACTGGATTCAAGTTGCTCAAGATGCAATGGAATTATTTACGGGAGGCCTATGTTCAGCAGTGGACGCAAAATGGCTAATGATGATGATTAAAATAATAAATTGATTAATGTTACAATAGATGTGCAATATATCCACCTAAAACATTCATACAGCACTGCAGTCGATGTTATGAAGATCTATTTACATTTCTCAACATTTCTACATCAATACACTCAAATGCAACGCGTATTCTATTTATCAAATCATTTTGCGTTATTCAATTGTAGCTTTGGCTTCAACGACGAGTTCTGGCGTCTTTCACCTGATCTTTTGCCCTCTACTTTACCTTCCAATATAATTTTGAGTAATTCATATCAATATAGTTTCAGAGTTATTTGTCCAATTTTGACAGTCATATAGCAAAACAAAGAAAACGTATCATCTGATCATTCGGATTTTGAGCTCTAGACTAAAGTCTAATCTAGTAAAAAATGTTTTTATGTTCAAGCGAGTGTTCCTCGCTTCTTCTACCGCATTTAGTATATTTTGTAGTTCTTATCGTTGCTTGCTATTAGGACGCTATCATCAGCATACCTGATATTGTCTATACTGGATCATTTTTTGATTGTTAACGCAGTCAAATGCTTTTTGTTATTGGAGGTATTTTATACAAAAGGTAAAACAACCTCCCTGATAAAACAAACGATGCCCCACGAGATTGTAGTAATATAGCTCCTAATAACCCCGAAAAATCCACCAACAAGTGATAAATTCATTTTAAAAACGATTCGGTGCCCTAACACTGGGACTCTAAGCTTCCTCAACCTGCCCCCAAGAGGACATCTGCTCCTCAGATTCCTAAACACTCTTCCCCATTTCTCTTCCTTCCTTCGTAGACAACAAGCTCCCTGAAGAGTCGATGTCCTTAAAACAGCTCCTTAAGAGTACCCTGATCAATAACACCAAGAAAAGGGGAAGATTGGTTCTTATTGAGGATATGATCTGTGACGGATAATCCAATTAGATATCAAACACAAACGGGCTGTGGTGTTCGACGCTGTTGCCTGTGAACAGAAATAAATAATAGGAGTGTTCGGTTAAGTAGGATAAAGGAAAGTCTTTAGTCAATGCTCAAAACCCAGGGAATGGCCAAGGTAAGGTGCGGTACAGAAGCGATTGATCAATACTCGATCGATGGGCTATAATCAGTACTCATAGACCGGAGTAGAAGTTCTTGCCGGATCAATACTCCAGATCGAACTAAGTTCTTGACACTCTGCATGGTAGTGTATATGCTCAGCGGGTATTCTATTTCCAGCGCGCATTGTAGTGGTGGTCAGTTGTTAGTGTGAGTGCGTGCTAGCTGTTAGCAGGCGATGATGGAGTTATCGTTACAGCTACTCTAAAGGTGTTTATTAAAGAAAGTCCAAAGAATTTTAAACCTCTCCGCGCTAACCCAAATCAAAACCTTCTGCTGGCATTTCCGGTACCTCTGCCGCCTTACTATCTCAGCTTTTACAAAATATTTCTCCCAATACAATCCAATTAAGAAAAGCGTTCGTTGAAGTGGTTTCAAAAACTTAAAATAAGTTTAATTTCCTTAATACATGTCCTGTCCCTCATATAATAAGGAGTAAATTAACCAAGGTCGTCATACAACAATGTTTTTTAAATAAATCCACATGAAGGAGTGTGGTGGATGAGTCGGTTATACAAAGGGCCCATCTCTTCGCACCCATTTACCAGGAAAATGGATATTGAGATGATTATGAATTAATGTACTGTGATGTACCAGGACTTCGTCATATAAAAAATAGCATGCTGATATCTGCTTTCTTTGGTTACCTCAATGGAAAATGTTTTTCTAGAAAGTCTAGATAAACGCGACCATTCACTGTATTATCGAAAAAAAAAACTATACCAACCCAAATGTTTGAATAAACTATTATATACACACCTCCTAGCTCCAGTAGATAAAGTGTCATTAATAATTTTAATCTATTAACCCCGAGGTACCATCGTGTATTTACACCCACATAACTACTATCGTGGGGTCATAGATGACCCGAATTTTAAAAACCTCTAAACAAGATATAAAAATATATTTTTTATTGTTTTTGTATTTTTGACAAATGAATGTGTATATAAAAAGAGATTTTTGTAAACTTAAATTTTATTTCAAGAAAATTAAGATGCTATAATAAAAATTATAGAACTTTTAAAATAAATTTTGATCAAAAACATCTCATTATTATGACAAAAAAAATATATCTTAAATTGAAATTAACGGTTCATTTTCTGAAAAGTAGTTTATAATAGTAACGTCTTAACCTAATACAAAAGAAAATCATAATAGAGTAACCATATAAAAAAAATAACAGTCATGTTTTTTTTTTTCGTAATGTTAGAATCTTGCTACAAAAATATTTGAACAAATTGTAAGTGTTTATCTATTCTTTGCACATAGTAGAGGTAACTCTCTGAAGTGAATGTGTTTTGCAGATGGTCCTATGACATTCCGCGCAAAATGTGGAATGTTTGTTATCCTTACCTCTGGGACACAAGTAGCATCTACGTCTTACAACTGGCCTTTCTGGTTTGGTCTGATCTTGATGAGTAATTTTATTTTCTAATGCTTTGGAAATTATCGAGCGTAATTCTCTTGACAAATTTGGCATTGCAAATCTTACTTCTAAATGTTCATTTATAAGACTGATTCCCAGCTCTTGAATAAAATCCGATCGATTTTTTCTAACCCCAGAATTAGCTGCGTGAAAAATAATGTGACTGTTTACTATAGCAATATCCATTATGGAATACCAAATTACTAAAGGCCATCGCTGGCATCTTCGACCTGAACGATAAAGTGCACATTTTTGATCAAATTCATCAACGCCCCCTTTCGACGAATTGTAGAAAGCTATTATATCAGGTTTTTTGCTTTCCTGGTCAATAGATTTGTTGTGATTCATAGACGACAACATAATTACACTTTTATTTTTTTTTAGGGACATATGATACGATTGTATTGTCTGGTGTAAAACCAAATAAACACTTATCAACTTCGTAATTTTTATTTGGTTGAAATTGTGGAGGAATTTCTCTCTTATTTTTACACATTGTACCTACATAGGTAAGTCGAAATTGTTTTAGTTCATCAACTAGCTCTATTGAGGTGAACCAATTATCACCAGTGACATTTCGGTTCCTATTGGCAATTGGTTCCACTAAAGCAAGTACTGATCTTGTAGGTATGGATAGCTTTTGGGCATTAGGATCATTTGTTTTACCCGTATACACAAAAGCATTTACCAAATAATGTGTTTTTGCGTCACATAAACACATGATCTTGATGCCGTTCTTGACTGGTTTGGCTTTCATGTACATTCTGAAAGGGCATCTACCTCTAAACCCAACCAACATCTCGTCCACTGTAACATATTCGGAACAGGTGTAGTTTGCTGTACTGTTAGATACTTAACCATTGGCCTTCTTTTGCTCTCTTATTTCATGATTGTCAAATCTTATTGCTGTGAGAAGAAATAATAAGCGTTCTTTTGATATTGTAGCACGAAAAATTGGCCTAACTAAAACACTTGTCGAAAATAATGAATCGACATTCTCATGATTAGACTTTAGTACACCTGAAAGGTATAAAAGTCCCAAAAAAGCCTTAAGTTCACCTTCGTTTAGATGATCGACAAATGTACATGTATCCCCATAATTTACACTGAGCTCGGTAATTTTTTCATTTGTTTACTCTAGAATAGAGGCCAACATGTCAGGAGTTATAAGAAGTGACCAGGATTCAAGTGGACTGGATGGTTTTGTTTCTAAGGCAGGTCCACGAAGACCAGGAAGGTGTGTAATAATGTTCTGTGCGCGAATTTTTGATGGGGCCGGAGCATTTGTAGCCCACTTATATCTGTTCCGTCTATAGTAAAAATGTGTTTCATTATTAGATGCTGTTTCACATTCGTCGCTTGATAAGTCACTTACGTCAATTTCTGAATCTGTGTCGTGAACCGAATGTTCACTTTCAGTGTCAGTATCACTGTTATTAGAATCACTATAAGTGTCAATATTTTCGGTTGGTTCCTCCAGAGATTCGAGAAAGTCAAAAACATTTTCACTTGTCACCGTACTTCCGCTAATTCTTAAAGCCATTTTAATGTATTATCTTAAATAATAATAACGTAACTACTATGGTGGGGTCAAATCCGACCGGAACTCAGCAGCACGTGTGCATTATCCCACTGATCGTTTGCTACTAAGCGGCATGCTAAACTACGTACTTAATTGGGAGAATACATAGAATAACAAGGTCGTTCGCCAAACTGTCTACCAGTGGCGCACGAAATTTCAAGTCCTGGGGTCAAATTTGACCCCACGATAGTAGTTAAGGGTTTATTGCTTTTTAATGGCTTATAAGTGCATATAAATGAACAAAAACTAGATCGTATTTAACTGTAGCCTTATTTCCAGCACAATTTTAAAGAGCTATAGATTGCTTTGTAAGTAGTTTTAATTAAGTTAGGTAGTGTTATAAAGTTAGAGAATAATATTTATATAGATAAGTAGTTTTACCTTCAGTTTGTAGAACGGCAAACTCATCTTCTGTCAACAGCTCATCGCCGTCTCTATCAAATTTGTCAAATAGTTCATCCACTAGCATCAATTGGTTCGTAACACTTGATTCGGGATGGGTAAAGGACAAAAATTCATCTATAGTTAATGTGTTTGGATTCGATTTGGCTGCTTCAGTCCATGCTGCTTTATCTCTCATTATTCTTTCTAAAATTAAAATATTACAAATGTATTTAAATAACATTTAAAATTAATACACAATATCGCCATTATACATTCAACAATAGCGCCATGTTGCGATACTTGGGAAAACAGCAGATTTAATAGAAAAATTTAATAGATATTTGAATAGTATGCCAATTCGTCTAAAATATCTAAAATTGTTTTAATATAAAATGGAAGACCCGACTGAAGGATAGTGAACTCCCCTTAACTAAACCAACAACCACCGACAGCGGCTAACTTCCACAAAGATCGGAACCCTTTCTGAAGAACTGAACGACTCATTCAGGACGACCTAAAGCTGAGTACTTTTTTATACTTTACTTATTTTCATCGAGTAAGGCCCGGCGCAAATTGAGCACAGCCCACGCACAGCCCACGCGCAGCACACGCGTGGGTTATTTTGTAAAACGTGGTTTTAGACGGAGCGACGCATATTAAACCCAAACCACGGCCAGGCTACTGCCAGACTTGGTTGGCGTGGATAGAGTTGTGCTATTCTTTGTTTCAAGTTAAGAAAATAACATTACGCTTATGGAGATCAGTGTTGCCAAAACTCACATACACTCTCTTTTACACGGATGTCCAAGATATTCCCTTTGCTTAATTTTTGAATTTTCATTTTCAATTAACATTTAACTGTAAAGTCAGAATAACTATTAAATAAAAGCCTTATTATCATTATGTAGTCAGAGAACGACATAAAATAGCTGACATACGCACATCGTATTATTTTAAGTTGCAATTAGTAATTAGATATACGCATTCCAAGCGGTCAATATTTTCTACTGATTTCTATGATTCATGGCATATCGTATTCTCGCCGAAAAAACAAATAAACTGTCGTTACTATAATTAAAATAAGATAAAATAAAATTATCTTTTGTAAGTACTATTTATCTAATTAAAATCATTTTCCCTACTTTTCATCTCTTGTTTCGAATGGGCACTTTTGGTCAATTACGTTAAAAACATGTTTTAAACAAAAACACGTTAAAATTCATGTTTGTGAAAACGAAAATACAAATTTTACAACCCTAAATTGTGCTTGTGTGTGTCGTGGCAACGCCGCGTTGCTATCGTCCATAAGAAATACATGGCCCTATCTCCGCAATGTTATTTTCTAAACGTGGAACGTAGTATAGCAACACAGTTTCGTAGGTCGTGGGTCGCTACCTAACCTTAGTTATTTTGTTTTGTGTGACCAATTTTTTGTTATTCAGTGAAAATGGAAAAGTTTATTGAAATTGTTCGAAGCTTTAGTGTCTTGTATGATACTAGTAATGAAGATTATATGAGAACAAAACTAAATAATTATTCAAAAAAATTCATTGTTTATTAAATCAAATGAAAAATATAACAAATCGAGAACTAAGGAAAAAAAACAAATTTTCATTTCCTAGCAAAATGTTTATGAACACCTAAGATGTAAACTTCAAAATAAAATTCGATGGTACTTTTTCGTGATGCTCATATAATGGCTTTTATACACTGAAATTAAATTAAAAAAGAACCTGAAGAAAGTAGAAAAATAATAAAAAATTCTCTAAATAAATTTAAATTTATCTCGAAAACAAAATACAATCTGGAATTTTGTATTTCACTTATTTCAATAATACCAGTTACAATATCTGCCTGTTATGCTAATTAGTAATTAGAAAGGCAATATCGGCAAAACCAGCTTATTCAAATTATATCTATAGTCTTTTGTTGAAGGATTTCAATTTTTTACCCTTAGCATTTGTGAAAGTTTTCAAGATATTTATATTTTCAGATTAGAAATTGTTATTGGGATATTAGGTAAAAATTAAAAGGTCTTTAGAAAATAAAATCTTTATTTAAACTAATATACTGAAGACAGTCTATCTTTTGGTTGAATGGTATTTGCGAAAACAATCTCCTATGCACAGTCCAGGTTTTTCGTGACAATCAGCACACTCGTAAATTGTGTTTTTCCTAATTTTATGGATAGAACATATTCTACACAAATATTTGACATGGACGTGGGCTGTGTTCAATATGCGTTAGTATTGAAAAACGTGTACGTGGACTAGGCTGGACCATTCGTGTGCTGTGCTCAATTTGCGCCGGGCCTTAGAATCTATGGAGAGGGCATCACGTGATTAAAAACGACCTCGCTTCGGCCATATTGGTATTATTGTTTTGAAACTTTTGACAGATCGTATATGTTTGGTTATATTTGTTGTTTTTCAAATATTTTCAGTTTTATAATACTTTTATAGAAACTGTAATATATTGTGATAGTGCATAATAATGGTTTCTTGTTCTCAACGTAGTTGCAGTAGCAGAAGTAATATTAATAAAAAATCTTCAGGAATATCGTTCCACAGGTTAGTATACAAATATGTAAACAAAGTAATGGCCCGTACTTCAGAGAATAAATTAATACTATTTGAATGTATTAATTTATCTTTATGTATAATATATCGTGTTTTTAGTGTTTACCGCGGGATAAATAAATCATAGTTTATTAAAAATGTATTGCACTTTTTTAGATTATGATTAAATCTTCTGAATAACTAGTCATATTTGTATAGTAGTTTTAATATTATTGAGTCTGGTCCTGATGTCACCGCCATATTGGTATTATCGTTAGCCATTCCTACCTATGCCGTTTTTAATACATACGTTAATATGCTCATAGTTCTCCATAGATTTTAACTCGATGGTTATTTTATACCGGCAACCGTCATAATCTTTGAGTCTCAGTTTAATTTATTTTTGTTTCATATTCATAATTTGAATTGTTTTTTTTTTTATTTAATAAATAAATATACCTTTATTATGACTACAAGTTTTTTTATTTCCTGTACCTTTCTGGGATTGGTGTAGAGAGAGAATGAACAGGGAACGAACCCAGAGCTGAGCAGTCGGGCAGAGCACCATTCTGGTGGACGGAACGGTGAGCGTTTTTCTCTTGAATATCCTTAGGGATATTCGAAGAATCTCTTCTCTCGTTTCTTCCAGCAGTATGGTGTTGCTTAACGCCCTGGTCTTAATAAGATTAAGACGTTACACAAGAATATGAACGCATAATGGAGTGAAATACGAAACAACCTAAAACCACAAGCAGTATATTAACAAAAGTCCTTCTTCGCAACAGAAAAGTCTACAGAGAAAGAGAGAGGGAGAGATCAATTCAAAGTCAACAGAAGTAATAACTTCTACATGTTTTAAAAATGCTCTCGAAAATGACACCACTAAGTAATTAAAATTAATATTTCGACGATGAAGACAAGGATGTCAAGGGTCTAAGTCCCGAGAAGACTGGATCAGATGAAAAATTTATTTTGACTAAATTTTTTGTAATGCATACTCCTACACTTACTGATGCGTACTTTGAGGAAAGTATTTTCCTAAGCATATTAGTAAAAAGTGCTTATTCTTAGGCAGTCCGACACTAAATTGCGGACGAAACGAATGAATCTGCGACATGATTCAAGCAGAAAACTACTTACCTGATAAATACGTACCTTTAAGAGATCTCTCAAGTCCCCTATGCCTTTTTTCATCATGATCTCCGATAAACTTGTCACTAAATCCCCTCTTTTTTAAAAAGTATGTATGGTATTCTCTCCAAGTGATCACACCATTTTGGGGACTAACATCAATAAGATTAAACAATTCCAAATTTGAACTGATAGCAGTAGAAATATGTTCCACAATTTTTTGTCTAATCCACATCGCCAACTCTTTCGAATCAAGTTTGTTGTTTTTGTCTTTATCAGCCCTGAAATAAAATGCCAGTCTAGTTTAAAATTCGTGGTCAGATCAAACTATATACAGTGTGGAAATCACTTAAGGAATAAAATTGTTTATGTCCTTATTTTATAAAATTATAAAAAATGCTCAATGGGGAACAAAAAAATCCAAATATTATGTTATGCAGACGACGCCGCATTAATCGCCGAGACAGAAGACGAGCAAGAAGATTAACACATATCTTCAATACAACATCTAAGAAATACAATATAATAATATCAGCAGAAAAAACCAAATGTATGACAACATCTAAATACCTACTATGGTGAAAAATCAAAATTGATGGGAAAATAATAAAGCAGGAAACAAAATTTAGATATCTGGGAATAGATATAACTAGTTACGGAGATGTTGAAGAAGAAGTACGACAACAAAGCTTAAAAGCAAGTAAAGCGGCGGGAACTCTTAATGACACAATCTTAAAGAACAAACGCCTTGGACAGACAGAAAAACAAGAATCTATATAGCAACAATTAGACCTACAACAGGAATGAAAATACTCCGACGAATATCAGGGAAAAGTCTGTTGGATAGGGAGAAAAGTGAAAAACATAAGAAGAACATGCAATATAGAAGATATAAATGGATGGGTGACAAAACGAAAACAGGAGTAGAACGAACACATCAGTAGAATGGCAGAGGATAGAATAGTACGAATAGCACGAGATAAGTCACCAAATGGACGAAGAAGTATTGGCAGACCAAGAAAAAGATGGTGCGACAATTTAAACAATTTAGGAGGATATTGAATAAGAAACAGCTGGGAACAAAAAATGGGATCCGTCAACTGTTAAATTCAAATGTGCTAGCGCTTCGATAGTTAATTACTGGACATCGGTTACTAAAAAGAACAAAGTGTTTTGAGAATTAAATCCGGACTCTTTGGGGTGTATTATATTAAACAATAAAGTAGCTTCGATCTTACTACTGGACTCATCGTCATCATCAACTAGCCATCAACGTCCACTGCTGAACATAGGCCTCTCGCATGCTTTTCCACTTAGTCCGATTTTGCGCCATCTGAATCCAATTTGTAGTCACTCTTTTTATGTCATCTGTCCTTCTCGTTGGGGGTCGACCTCTATTTCTGTTGACTTGTATTCGGGGTCTCCATTCCAAAATTCTTTTTGTCCACCGGTCATCAACTGCTCTTGCCACATGACGTGTTGTTATCCTTTCAATAACGTCTGCTACTCCTGATCTTTTGCGTATGGTAGGCATTGGGTATTCTATCACGTAGAGAAATTCCTAACATTATTCTCTCCATTGCCCTTTCCGCAACTTGAAGTTTACTCACTGTTGTTCTTGTGAGTGTTAGGGTTTCTGCGCCGTAGGTCATCACTGACAAAATATACTGATTAAATACTTTTCTTTTCAGACACATTGGAATCTTAGACCTAAAAACATTCTTCATCTTTCCAAATGCAGCCCAAGCGAGGTTTATTCTTCTTTTTAACTCGATTATTTGGTTGTCTCGACCTATTCTGATCTCATGGCCCAAGTATTTATAGGAGTCGACTGGCGCAATATCGTTGTCTTCTACTGAGATGTTTTTATTGTGGACTAAATTTGTCATAAATTGTGTATTTGAAAAATTTATTTTAAGACCAACTCTTTTTGTGGCAGTATGGAGTTCTTGGAGCATTATCTGTGCCTGATCAAAGCTGTCTGGACTACTGGACTACATGTTCCTAATATCTTTGGTAATTATTACTGGACTATTCGTGTTTATACCTTCTGTTTTGTTGAAATCCCAGAAAATTATTTAGTGTCAATTTGTTCCAAGGTTATATTTAATACAGTGTCTGCAGAAAGTAAGGTCCTGGAGGTCCACCTTGACTAACATTTGATTTTGATAAGTAATTTCGAGTCGGATTCCGAAGAAATGTCGAATACATTCGTGGACATAAACAGTAGAGAGAAGACGAAGTCAAAATGTGGTGTTCACTAATAAACAATTCCAAGAACTTTTGTCGAGACCATCGGTACAAACTGCTACTTTCGACATCGTTGTAAAGTGATAGTCTTTCGAAGTATTGCCAGATGATTTTTTTATTTCCTAGAATTTTTGCCAAAATTTCCCTAGATTTCCCTAACAACTTGACAACCATATTTAGCCTAGAATGGACCACATAAGTCTGACCCTGACGTCAGAATAAGTGGAGTTTTTAAAGATCTTTCCAAACATTTCTAATTTGTATGTATTGGTCACATAAAAAGTTAAAAATATTGTTTTTTTAATTGTTTGGAGAATAAATAAGGACTTCTGGTTATGAACGTTCATTCGGTGCCATTTTTATCATTTGTTTTTCGTGAATTTGTGAGGTTAGAATATCAAAGTATTAGTGGTATTAAGATATTTTAGCCCAGGTGGATCCCTGGCGTAATTCGCTGTTCGTGAAATATAAACACTCTAGTGCTAGTCACCGACAGGGAATCACATTAACAGTTAGAAAACGAGAAACTAAAAACCAAAAATCACCCGAGATCAATAGATAAATACATATAGTCGGTTCGCTATATTTACGCGGGTTTCAGATTAAAAATTTTATTGTAAGTACCCAGTTTTAATTACCTGCTTTTTGGGGAAATATCAACTGGTCAAATGAAATGAAAAAGAATCCATAACTTTTTTTAATTAAATAATAATGGAAAATCTTTTATATAATTGACAGTATAATAAGGAGAATTACTTCATTAATGGAGTCTAATGTGGCTAATATAAACCTAATAATAATTTTATATTACACTTCACACAGAAAATATGGTCTATGTATATTTGTTCCATGGAGAGAATTTCTAATGAAAAATAAAAAAATTTAACTTGCCAACAAAAATGAAAATCAGTCATTATCATCAAAAATATCATAATCGTCATCATCATCACTGTCATCACCATTAATTGTTATTATGATTGAACTTATTTCGTTTATTTTATTTTCACAAGTCCACCAATCTTCTATTAGTTTCTCGCTATAACCGTTAGGCCCAATATGGTTGTCATAATATTGTTTTGCTGTTCCCCATATATATTCGATGGGATTAAACTGGCAATGATACGGTGGCAGACGTAAAACTTGATGACCGTAACTTTCAATAATCTGATCCACAACAAAGGTTTTTGGTTTTGCGTGGATATTTGCCAAGCGTAATAATTCTGATTTTAAAATATGTTGTGTAAATGGTATATGTTCCTTTGTTAACCATTCTTTAATTTTATTAACAGTCCAAGAATTCGTCGGACTTTTGTTTAATACTTCAGAATGATAAGATGCATTGTCTAAAATAATTACGCTGGGCTTACTTAAACCTGGGAGAAGTTTTTCATGTAACCATTTTACAAACATTTCTGTGTTCATATTATCGTGATAGTCACTTGATCTTGATTTAGATGAAAATATTAAATCAGCACCTTCTCTAAAACTCGATTTCCCTCCTGCATGTAAAATTATGTGTCGCTTCCCTTCTCCATCAGTATGTTTGATAGACTTTACGTTATCATCTTGCCATATTCTCTTGGTTGCAGCCCTAGAAAATATCCATGTTTCGTCTAAATATATAAAATTTGCCCTTTCTTCTTTTAATTTAGAATATTTTCTTAAAAAGTTAATTCTTTTATGCACAACATAACTTCTTTCACAAAGGGCTTTTCTATTATCCTCCTTTTGAAATTTGAAACCCAAATTATGTATCACTTCCCATAGACTTGTTCTGCCAATTTTGTCAAATTTTCTATCTTTTAATTCCGAGAGAATTGTATTTAAGGTCAGATGTTCCTTGTTGGCTCCCATTCGATAAATGGTATCACGAATTTCAATTTTTTTTTCATCTGGAATATCTTTCGTTTTCAATGATAGGCGAGTTTTTCGGTGATCTTCTTTCGGTCGTTCATTATTGCGTTGTTGAACAGACATTACCGATTTTAATGGACCGCCATTTTCTTTTTCATCCGTAAAATACTTATGTACACTACAAATTAGACTATCTACATCTAACACACGTCTAGGCATTTTTAAATATTTCCACCAAACATACAATGTCAACACTGGCAAAGAATCAATTCAACTGCAATATTGTAACAAATTTATACCTACCCTAATGTTATTTTAAAATATGTCTTTCAAGTGCTTTTCAGTATTTTAAAATATGACCATTAATGCAGTTTTTACCTAATTTTCTGGGAAGTCGTTTACTGCAACTGGTTATCAATGAGTCATTAGCATAATTTTGTTAATCCGAAACCGGCGTAAATATAGCGAACCGACTATAAGTCCAGGTGGATCCCCGACGTATTTCGCAGTTCGTGAAATTCCACCATTCTAGTCTCCGACGGGAAATTACATGTAACACTAAAATTTTGGTTTTGTTTGAGTTTATTTTAATGCCCATTTCATCTCCTACCTCGTGAATACGATCAAGCAGAATTTGAAGACCTTCAATATTATCTGATAGAATTACTGTATCGTCTGCATATCTAATCACATTAAGTAGTTCCCCGTTGATTTTTATTCCATATGGTTGTCTTTCAAGTGTTTAAATACTGGTCCGAGTGAACATTGAACAATGTTGGCGACAAAATGCAACCTTGTCTGACTCTTTGTTGTATAGAGATTTCATCGGTATAGTTATCTCCAATTTTTACGATAGCAGTTTGATTCCAGTACAAATTTTTAATGACACGAATATCCTTGTCATCTATTCTGATATTTTTCAGTATTTGCATTAATTTTACATGCTGTACACTTTATCGAATCCTTTTTAGAAGTCCACGAAACATGCATATACATCTTTTCTTTGGTCACGGCATTTTTCTAATAGGATATTAAGCGCAAACAGTGCCTCCCTGGTTCTCATAGCATTTCTAAAACCAAATTGGGAATCTTCAAGATCTTCTTCGCATTTGCGTCTAATTCTGTTGTGAAGTATTCTGAGGAAAATTTTAAGAGTGTGGCTCATTACGCTAATTAATCGATATTCATTGTGTTTTATAGGAATTGCGACAAAGATGGATTTGAGCCAATCTGCGGGAATCGCTCCGGTGTTATATATTGAATTTAAAAAGTCTTACTACTACTTTTATGTTATCATTCTCTATTAGTTTCAGCAACTAAGTTGGTGTATCATCTGGACCAAAAGCTTTTCTAATTTTAGCATTATTTATACCGTGTTCTACCTCGTATTTCGTAATTTCTGGTCCGTCAGTATAGTTTTGGTAGAATTTGGCAATATTATTCCTGTCGTCTTCAAACAACTATACAAAGTGACGTCACTAATATTTAAAATTTCCAGAACATCATCCTTAGAATTCATATTTTTCTAATGCAGCTAATAATTCAAATGTCAAATTTCAGTGACAGTTCAGTGATTGGTAAAATTGTTTAAAGTGTTTCTCTAAAAGAACAATTTCCGAAGTGGAAATTGAAATGTCAATAAACGTACTTTAACCTTTAATTGTGGCTTATTCCCATTTAAATAGTAATTATATTAAAGTCTAGTCACTATACATCAATCATACACTGATCAATCACTATTTATCAATATACTAGTCAATATTAAATTGACTAGTGTATTGTAATCTTAAATAGTTGACATTTTGAAAATTCCTCACCTATTCTGATGTTTTGGCAACACAGTGGGGCTTGACGTCGTAAATATTGAATGAATGAACTCATTTTTATATGAAAAATTCTATATGTGCAATTTTGGAAAGTTTATTAAATCCAACAGATTTTTAAAAATAGTCTAACAAATATTAAGAATTCCCTAGATTTTTTTTAGAATTGAATAAAAATCGCTTTTTCCATAAGCTGGCTCAAAGGTATAAGGAAAATTCCCCAGGTCTGGTAACACAGTTTCGAAATGCCCTTCGCGTTTTGGTAGTAAAAAAGACACCGACGTAAATGCTTTTATTAGTGCCTTATTGGTCCGAAAAACCCGGCATATCGTGTTTATCGCGAACTATTTGCTGAGGAACAAGATAGAAAAGCAATAGTTCACGTTTTCGTTTGTAAATGTAGAGCTATAATTGCACAATTAGACAGAACTAATTGTGCAATTTAACTGAATTAAATAAATAATGTATATCAATAATATTATTCACAATTTTTATTATTTTTAATGGAACCAGAACACGAAGATCATATTAAAAGAAAATAGAAATTATTTTCCCTTGCTAATTGATGTATAGGTAAAAACTCTTTTATTTTATAATAATTAAAAAAAAACTTACTTTTCAAAAACTTCCATTAGAGTTCGAGTACCATCCTTATTAAAATCAACCAAATATTCATTTTTATCAATCAATTCCTCTTCGCCTCGTTTATCAGTATTGAAATTACTGTTCTTAATTCGGATTTCAAAAGAATCTTCTACATTCACTTTTAAATCCTTGACAATTTTTATATTGTGTTTTAAAGGTACAGCCAACATCCAAATCATGACGAAAAATGCCAAATAACATAATATTGGGACCGTGTAAGACCATCGCAAGCATTCCAAGTATTTAATTTTCTGAGCAACGTTCATATTCAATGAGCTTTTAAAAAAATTACCATGTCTTGCCTATCCATATTTTGTCAATCTAAATAAAACTTTTTACATTTGCTACTTACAAAGAGATATTTTTTTAAATAAATGCCGACATTTGTTGATAAAAAACATACTTTCATTTGTGCAGTAAACGAAGGTATATGCGAGGATTGAGACAAAGGGTATCGATATTGCGCAAATCTCTAATTCAATGGCGTCTCATATATAGGGGTCTACACGAATATAAATGTTATAATGTAACAGAGGAAAGTCGCCTAATATTGGATAATATTCTATTTAATTCAATTTTTTGGTCAAAAAAACATTTTAGAATAACTTTTTTGTACTTAGTCTTTTTTCTGTACTACTCAATAAAAACAACTTATACATACTAAAATATTCATTTCATCATAAAAACAATGTAAGTGTACGGCAAAAGTAGAAAATGACACTTTTTCAAATTAAAAAAATGGTTCCTAAAATTGGATAGCCTATCCATTTTTCAGTACAAAAATCACATATTATACATAAATTTTCTTTTTATCACTACCAGCACATTCTTCATTTGACCATATAAAATACGTCCATGATATAAAGCAACTTGAACACTTTACCCACTTTTCTCCATTTTGTTCCCTTGAATAATATTCAGTGCAACAAATAGACGCTGCATTACTTTCTTAATCGGTATCCTCATATGAATCATGATCATAAGGAACATTTGAGAAATCGGAGGATTCTGACTTTCTTCTTTTACTTTCTTTACTTTTTATTTTTCACCATCGGCATAGTCTTATTTTTAGTTTTCCTTAAACCCTTAATTTTGGCAACTATCCTTTATTTTTAAGAGATTCTTTTCTTAGTTTTTCTTTAATGCTAGCTTCAAAATCATCTTTGTAGGGCGTACTTGTAGTTAACGCCACAGAACCGGTTTTACGTCCCCTATTTGAAGTAAGTATCAACGAACTACAGGATGGTAAAAGTGAAAAGTCATCATCATCATCATTGGCTTTTACAACTCTTCTTGAGTTTTTGCCGCGTTTACTATTGCCTTCCATTGATTCCGATCCTGTGCTATTATTTCCCATGGCCTTACTTCCATCTTCTCCAGGTCTTCCCTGACTGTGTCTTCCCACCTTTTTCTAGGCCTTCCTGTCGATCTTCTACCATCTGGTCTTTCCCAAAACACATTGCTAATCAGTCTGTCGTCATCACTCCGTACCACGTGGCCTGCCCATCTTGGCTTTTATGTATCTTACGATGTTTCCTTTCCCGAAGAGTCTCTATTTCATTGTTGTATCTGCTCCTCCATTCATTTGTCACGCTGTCCCTGCAATGTTCTCGGACGCGACTAGTTCACGTTCGAGACGCATCGCCCCGTCCCTTATTTTTCCCGTTGGCCCCTCCCTGACCTGGAAATCCCTAATCGCTAATTCAGAAAGTATAAAAATAGGCGATTTTCAGGTCAACCAAGTCAGTCCTTCACGGGCTCTCCGAGAGCTTAGTGCTCTCGGGGCTCTGCTTCCTTTTTAGCTTTCCATCCTCTGTGGCTGAGATGTTATTCTACTGCAACCTGGTATTTTTATTTCGACTTAACCTTTGTCATGTAAGAAATATCTTGCCTTTTTCAAGGCAAGATACCAGAAGAAAACATTTACGAGTCCATACCTTGAAAATGGACTTAAGTAGAGGAGCTATCGTAGACGTTCTCGAAGCCCTCTACAGAGCACACGGTGGTACAGAAGGTGCTTAGACCCTTATTAATTACCCCGAGGTGACATGGCGCCCGACAACGTGGTTAAAATCCGCACCCACGACCCAGATCGACTCGCAGCAGAAGGCTACAACCATTGACTTCAACATGGGTTGAAGTCAAGAGAAGAATGGGGAGAACCACGGAGTGTTAGAAAGCTATACTCTAACACTCCGACATCGAGGCCTTCTGCAAACCGGATGCCTTCGACGTGCAGGCACCTTTGACGAGCCAAACTTCTTCGGAGTCAGAAGCCCCTGATGCCAATGGAAGTCTAGAAGTAGACCCAGTCATCGCCCCCCTACCGAAAGTGGTTGGACGACCACGTAGGCTTCGGCACCCTGGAACTCTACGAAACCCCTGGATATGGCGGATGGGATCCGGACGACCAAGAAGAAGACGAACACGTCGAAGGAGTTGGCACACCGATCGAGGATGGACCTGTAGGAGCCGGAGATGCCGTCAACACCACCGACACTCCCTATTAGTGCTGTGTTGTGAGTTTTTCAAAGAATTTTTTTACTTTATTTACATTTTCATGTATTTCCTTTCATATATTTCATGCATTTTTATGTATTTTTCTTATCATTGTATACTTGTTAAAATTTTTTGGTATTCAATAAATTTTTTCCCGGCCACAGAGTCTCCAGAGGAGGGGGGATGTTCTCGGACGCGACTAGTTCACGTTCGAGACGCATCGCCCCGTCCCTTATTTTTCCCGTTGGCCCCTCCCTGACCTGGAAATCCCTAATCGCTACTTCAGAAAGTATAAAAATAGGCGATTTTCAGGTCAACCAAGTCAGTCCTTCACGGGCTCTCCGAGAGCTTAGTGCTCTCGGGGCTCTGCTTCCTTTTTAGCTTTCCATCCTCTGTGGCTGAGATGTTATTCTACTGCAACCTGGTATTTTTATTTCGACTTAACCTTTGTCATGTAAGAAATATCTTGCCTTTTTCAAGGCAAGATACCAGAAGAAAACATTTACGAGTCCATACCTTGAAAATGGACTTAAGTAGAGGAGCTATCGTAGACGTTCTCGAAGCCCTCTACAGAGCACACGGTGGTACAGAAGGTGCTTAGACCCTTATTAATTACCCCGAGGTGACAGCAAGGACCATATATAATTCGCAGGATTTTGCGTTCCCATACTAATAGCTTATTGATTTCTTTCTTTCTCAATGTCCATGTTTCACTTCCATATGTCAGTGCTGGTCGTATTATGGTTTTGTACATTTGGATTTTGGCACGCCTTGAGAGAAGCTTTGACCTCATTAGATGTTGAATGGCAAAGAATGATTTATTCCCCGCCAGTATTCGTATTACAACCTCCCGTTCTCCTGTGTTTTCACTGGTAATTGTTGCTCCTAGGTATTTGAATTCTTTGACCACCTCAAAATTATGATCGTTTATGGTAATGTTTTGTCTTATTCGCTGTCGTTCCTTTTTTGATACGACCATGTATTTAGTTTTTTCTTAGTTTATTTTCAGGCCTACGCTTAGTGTTGCTTCTTCAAAGTTCGATAATATATCCTTAACTTCCAGTGTTGTCTGTACTACTGCATCTACATCTGCAAATGCGAGAATAATCTTTGCTCCTCTGGCAGTTATGTCTGGTTTGACTCTGGTATAGATTTTTCGCATTGCGTATTCCAATGCTAGGTTAAATAGTAATGGGGACAGCGGGTCTCCCTGTCTGAGCCCGGTGCTTATGCCGAAAGCCTTTGAAGTTTTGCCTCCTATTCTAATTTGTGCAAAGGAATTGTTGACACACATTCGCGCAATCATGGTCAGCTTCTTTGGTACGCCTAACTCCATCATTGCACTCCAAAGTTTTAAGCGATCTATGGAATCATATGCTTGTTTGAAATCTATAAAGATCTGGTGTACTTCTTTATTATATTCCCAATACTTTTCTAGCATTTGTCTGATAGTAAATATTTGGTCGATTGTTGATCTTCCAGACCTAAAGCCGCATTGGTAATCGCCAATAATTTCCTCTGTATATGGCAGTAATCGTTTTAGTATAACTGAAGCTAATATCTTATATGTAGTACCGATTAGTGAGATTCCCCTGTAGTTGCCACATGTATCCTTTCTGCCTTTTTTATGTATTGGCACGATAATACAGCCACTCCATTCTTTTGGCATTATTTCTTGTTCCCAGGCTTCTTTCATTAATTGGTGTATTTTAGTTCTAAGTTCATGCCCTCCTTTTTTAATCAGTTCTGCATCAATATTGTCTAGTCCCGGGGATTTGCCATTTTTTAGGGTTTCTATCGCCGTGATAATTTCTTCCAGGCTTGGCGGGGTTACTTCTATCTCGGCCGTTTGGTACTCACAATTTGCTTTATTTCATTTAGAAGACTTTCAAAGTATTCAGCCCATCTTTCGATTATAAAAAAAATAATCTATATAAAACTGAAAAGTCTTAAACTTTTACCATGTTCGATAACTAATTATATATTCTAAATATAACTGAAAATATATTCTAATTGAATGGAAAAATGTCTGCTTTACGAAGTCCACTAGCTGATAACTCAACACTCGCATATTTCTGATAAGCAGGGCAGAATAATGAGCATTTTTTAAAGGATTCTACATTTCGACAAGAATTACTCTTCAACCAATTTTGGATTTCTCTTGAATAGTGTGTCTTTAATGGAGACATAAAACACAAATCTAACGGTTGGATTTTATGTGACGTATGGGGAGTGATGCATACAATAAAAATATAATTTTTTTCTAGCTACGTCTATATTGCCCAGATTCCGTGTATAGCTATAATCGCCTTCAATTATGAGCAACACAGGATTGCCTTCTGAAGGTTGATGATTGATAAAATGTTGAATCCATCGCGGAAAGATTTGGCTCTGTATCCATCCTGAAAGGTGACTCAAATCTGTAGTTATCGGACTCACCGATAGAGCTATTAGATTATTCGATCCTATCAATAGACCTCGGGCCATTAAAAAAAAAACAAAAACAGCACTAACACTTAATTCATACCCACACCACCTTATCGACAACACTTTCAAATCGCGACTGCATACATTTTACAATAACAATAAAACCAACACGGTAAAGAAAAATTATATGTCTCTCCCCTATATAAAAGGGTTATCAGAACAAATTGCAAATCTTCTGTCTAAACATAACATAACGGTTGCTCATAAAGGGCACAATCTTTTGAAAAAGAATTTTACAAGACTAAAAAAACCCCTCTATTAAAAAAATCGCATGTTGTGTATAAAATTCCCTGTTCGAATTGTGATGGAGTATATATTGGGCAAACCGGTCAGCTATTTAACTCAAGAATACGTTCCCACAAATATGACAAAAAAAACTCAACCGCCCTTACAAAACACGAAAACGAA